GACCTGGGAGTGATTATGTCGGAGGATCTCACCTTCAAGGACCATAACATTGTATCAATCGCATCTGCTAGAAAAATGACAGGATGGATAATGAGAACCTTCAAAACTAGGGAGGCCAAGCCCATGATGACACTCTTCAGGTCACTTGTTCTATCTAGGCTGGAATATTGCTGCACTCTAACAGCACCTTTCAAGGCAGGTGAAATTGCCGACCTAGAAAATGTACAGAGAACTTTCACGGCGCGCATAACGGAGATAAAACACCTCAATTACTGGGAGCGCTTGAGGTTTCTAAACCTGTATTCCCTGGAACGCAGGAGGGAGAGATACATGATTATATACACCTGGAAAATCCTAGAGGGACTAGTACCGAACTTGCACACGAAAATCACTCACTACGAAAGCAAAAGACTTGGCAGACGATGCACCATCCCCCCAATGAAAAGCAGGGGTGTCACTAGCACGTTAAGAGACCATACAATAAGTGTCAGGGGACCGAGACTGTTCAACTGCCTCCCAGCACACATAAGGGGGATTACCAACAGACCCCTGGCAGTCTTCAAGCTGGCACTGGACAAGCACCTAAAGGCAGTTCCTGATCAGCCGGGCTGTGGCTCGTACGTTGGTTTGCGTGCAGCCAGCAGCAACAGCCTGGTTGATCAGGCGCTGATCCACCAGGAGGCCTGGTCACAGACCGGGCCGCGGGGGCGTTGACCCCCGAAACTCTCTCCAGGTAAACTCCAGGTATGTCATAGAACTCCAGTAGGTTTGTGACACAGGATTTCCCGTCCCTGAAACCATGCTGGCTGCTGTTGATGAGATCATTCCTTTCTAGGTGTTCCACCACTCTTCTCCTGATAATCTTCTCCATGATTTTGCATACTATACATGTCAGTGACACTGGTCTGTAGTTTAGTGCTTCATGTCTGTCTCCTTTTTTAAAGATTGGGACTACATTTGCTGTCTTCCATGCCTCAGGCAATCTCCCTGTTTCGATAGATGTATTGAATATTGTTGTTAGGGGTACACATAGCGCCTCTGCTCCCTCTCTCAATACCCATGGGGAGATGTTATCTGGCCCCATTGCCTTTGAGGTATCTAGCTCACTCAGAAGCCTCTTCACTTCTTCCTCGGTTGTGTGCACTGTGTCCAGCACTTGGTGGTGTGCCCCACCTCTCCGTCTTTCTGGAGTCCCTTCTGTCTCCTCTGTGAACACTTCTTTGAATCTCTTGTTGAGTTCTTCACATACTTCACGGTCATTTCCTGTTGTCTCTCCTCCTTCCTTCCTTAGCCTGATTACCTGGTCCTTGACTGTTGTTTTCCTCCTGATGTGGCTGTACAACAGTTTCGGGTCAGATTTGGCTTTCGCTGCTATGTCATTTTCATATTGTCTTTGGGCCTCCCTTCTTATCTGTGCATATTCGTTCCTGGCTCTACGACTGTTCTCCTTATTCTCCTGGGTCCTTTGCCTTCTATATTTCTTCCATTCCCTAGCACACTTGGTTTTTGCCTCCCTGCACCTTTGGGTAAACCATGGGCTCATCCTGGCTTTTTCATTACTCCTGTTACCCTTGGGTACAAACCTCTCCTCAGCCTCCTTGCATTTTGTTGCTACATATTCCATCATCTCATTAACTGGCTTCCCTGCCAGTTCTCTGTTCCACTGAACCCCGTTCAGGTAGTTCCTCATTCCTGTGTAGTCCCCTTTCTTGTAGTTTGGCTTCATTCGTCCTGGCCTTCCTGCTTCTCCCTCCACTTGTAGCTCTACTGTGTATTCGAAGCTTAAAACCACATGGTCACTGGCCCCAAGGGGTCTTTCATATGCGATGTCCTCGATATCTGCACTACTGAAGGAGAATACTAAGTCCAGCCTTGCTGGTTCATCCTCTCCTCTCTCTCTTGTAGTGTCCCTTACGTGTTGGTACATGAAGTTCTCCAGTACCACCTCCATCATCTTAGCCCTCCATGTATCTTGGCCCCCATGTGGGTCCAAGTTCTCCCAATCGATCTCCTTGTGGTTAAAGTCACCCATGATCAGGAGCTTTGCCCTGCATGCATGAGCTCTTCTGGCCACTCTAGCCAGTGTGTCAACCATCGCTCTATTGCTCTCGTCGTACTCTTGCCTTGGCCTCCTGCTGTTCTGTGGTGGGTTATACATCACTGCTATTACCACCTTGGGACCTCCAGAGTGAAGTGTTCCCACTATGTAATCACTTTCTTCTCCGCTATCTCCTCTCTCCAGCTCATCAAAATTCCAGCGATTTTTGATCAGCAACGCCACTCCTCCACCCCCCCTGTTCCCTCTGTCTTTCCTCAGGATTTGGTATCCCGTTGGAAAGATGGCATCTGTTATCATACCTGTAAGCTTGGTTTCTGTAAGAGCTATGATGTCCGGTGATGCTTCTTTGACCCTTTCGTGCCACTCCTCCCACTTATTTGTTATTCCATCAGCGTTTGTGTACCATACCTTCAGTTTCCTTTCCAACACTGTGGTTTGGGGGGCCTGTGGGGGTGGGAGACCTGGTGGCATACTGTGGGATTCTATAGCTCGATGTTGGGTGGAGGCTGTGGGTATGGATTGTAGTGTGTGTTGGGATGGTGTGATAGGTTGTATGGTTCTGAGAGTAGTTGTGTGTGTGCTTGCCCTTGCTGTTCTGTCCTGCTCTGACTGACCTCTGCTGATTCCCTCCTGTGTGTGTGTGTGTGAGTGTACTCACCTATTTGTACTCACCTATTTGTGGTTGCAGGGGTCGAGTCCTAGCTCCTGGCCCCGCCTCTTCACCGGTTGCTACTAGGCCCTCTCTCTCCCCGCTCCATGAGCTTTATCAAACCTCGTCTTAAAACTGTGTATGGTTCCTGCCTCCACTACGTCATTTTCTAGGCTATTCCACTGCCTTACAACTCTATGACTGAAGAAATACTTCCTACTATCTCTCTGACTCATTTGTGTCTTCAACTTCCAATTGTGGCCTCTTGTTTCTGTGTCCCCTCCCTGGAACATCCTGTCTTTGTCCACCTTGTCTATTCCACGCAGTATTTTATATGTCGTTATCATGTCTCCCCTGACCCTCCTGTCCTCCAGTGTGGTCAGGCCGATTTCCCTTAATCTTTCCTCATAGGACATTCCCTTAGCTCTGGAACTAACCTTGTCGCAAACCTTTGTACTTTCTCTAGTTTCTTGACGTGCTTTATCAAGTGCGGGTTCCAAACAGGTGCTGCATACTCCAGTATGGGCCTGACATACACGGTGTACAGTGTCTTGAATGATTCCTTACTAAGGTATCGGAATGCTGTTCTCAGGTTTGCCAGGCGCCCATATGCTGCAGCAGTTATCTGATTGATGTGTGCTTCCGGAGACATGCTCGGTGTTATACTCACCCCAAGATCTTTCTCCTTGAGTGAGGTTTGCAGTCTTTGGCCACCTAGCCTATACTCTGTCTGTGGTCTTCTGTGCCCCTCCCCCATCTTCATGACTTTGCATTTGGCAGGATTAAATTCGAGAAGCCATTTGCTGGACCAGGTGTCCAGTCTGTCCAGGTCTCTTTGAAGTCCTGCCTGGTCCTCATCAGATTTAATTCTCCTCATTAACTTCACATCATCTGCAAACAGGGACACTTCTGAGTCTAACCCTTCCGTCATGTCGTTCACATATACCAAAAATAGCACTGGTCCTAGGACCGACCCCTGTGGGACCCCGCTCGTCACAGGTGCCCACTGTGATACATCATTACGTACCATGACTCGTTGTTGCCTCCCTGTCAGGTATTCTCTGATCCATTGCAGTGCCCTTCCTGTTATATGCGCCTGATGCTCTAGCTTCTGCACTAATCTATTGTGAGGAACTGTGTCAAAGGCCTTGCAGTGAGTGTGTGTGTGTGTGCAACAAAATAAGAATACTATTATATTAAATATGCAGTAAACCTGAGCACAGTCAATGAATGTACGCTGTAATAATAATTATAATAATTTATTATTATTATTATTGTTATTAGTTAATTAACAATGGTTAGTAATCCAGCTGAGGATTATTATTATTATTATAATCAAGGGGGAAGCGCTAAACCCGGAGGATTATACAGCGCCTGGGGGGGGGGGATGTGGAAGGCATTCAGGCTTAATTCGGGGAACTGGAGCACAGATCCAATTCCCTAAATCAAGAGCCCCTCACCAACATCAAGGAACCTTCCTTGAGGGGATCCAGCTGAGGAATGTAACTCATTACTTGGTTATCTACACTCTAGTGAGCATCACATGTGTCAGATGTCACCTGAGTATCCACAGTAACTTGAGAGAGTGTTCGTTATTAACACTGTGAAAAAAAGGCCGTTTGAAAGGGTAATAATATTGATTTTTATATAACTTCAGCATTTCATCACCATCACGAGGATGAGATACCATGTAGCTTCTTTTGATTAGTTTTCTTAGGTTACATTAAGCCTGAAGGTTTTAATGTTATAGTGATACGCGTTTATAATTTTAAGGGGAACGTTAACACATTGCCTTTTTTAGGAAAGATATCGTGAAATATTATTGTAAAAAGTGTATTAGGAATTTAATTGGCAGTATGAAGGCTTGTAGAAAATGTAAACATATCTATTATCAACCAAAGCTTGCTACTTCTTATAAAATTTAAAATAAGGTTAATAGTAGAAGCATACAAATAGATGGCATGTAAAAATATTAAGACTTGTAGCACATGTTTTTCTAGAAGAGATAAGTGAAGAAGATTTTCTTATAGTTTCATAAATACTGACAAAATTCCCTATGTTTACAGTCGGGCCTCAATACACGCTGTCAAGGCTACCAACGTCTCAGCTTTATGATTTTTCTCAAAATCTCGTCATTAAAGTCTTGAAATATACCTGAAACTCAAAATAATAACAAAATAGTGCATTATATTAAAGAAGGTATTAAATAAGTATCAAATAGTGGTACAAATAAAAATAAAATATATTAGTTTGGTTGGCAGCGGGACCAAAATATGAGTGTGAGCAACATTATTGGAATATCTGCCATCTGTATTTTGAAAACATTGTCAGTGTGGTCGATGAAGTTGTGAGTGACGGTGTGTGTGGCCTCATACTTCACAATGGACTCTTCTTTACGCGAACAGGTAATGCGTTTCCTCTCCACACATGACCATGAAGGAAGCTAGAAACCTACACTCACTACACAGCGTAAATAATACCGCGGGAGGTTAATACGTACATGGTAATAGCAAAATATTCAATGGGCCTTTTGGCAATCTCACCGAGTGGACTGATGGTTGGAGGAAGATTTACTGACTGGCTTCATTTATTGATGTCTGGCGGCTCTAAGGCAAGAGCTTTGGCTCTCGAGGCTCTAACTGCTTACTGTGGCTAGTTAAAGCTTAATTGTCTCCTTACCTTATTGATTTACATAGTGACGGCGTACGGCTATGTCAAGATATTTTCATTGTTTCTTCAGTTTTGAGATTCAAACACACTTTTGTACACAACCGGTGACCTAATTTAGTATTTGGAGGCTTGAATTACAAGAACGTTTGCTGTAAAGTAAGTGCCAAGGTTTTATGTACTTATAAAATACTACTGCATCATTATTACTGCAGTCTGAAGCGTCTGCAAGTGACATCTTTTTGGTAAATGAAAGCATAGAAACTAATTACATTTCTAATGAATTGAAATTAGCATTTTGTTATATTGATCCTGTGGTATCTGAGTTGTGATGGTTAGGAATGAAATACTAGAAAACAGTCATCGAGAAGTTTTATGACATTAATAACGTCTTACCAAAATAAGGATCATTCAGCCTCTGGGGAATTGAGAATGGGAGGCAGTCAGGTTTGATCAGAGGAAATGGAAGCTCCGATTCCATAGATCGACAGCCCTTCACTAACGTCAAGGGGGAAAAATCAAGGAAAAAGTCTATATATATAGACAAGTCATGAAATCAGTTGTCACATTTATATATAGTTCTAGTGGTCTTTTGAAATTGCCATTCAGATATTTATCAAGTGTGTGGCTCTGGTAGAGCCTCCAGGTCACAACAGGTCCCAGGTTTGGTCCTGTGGTGAGTGAAGACATTGGCCATATTTCCTTGGACCTGTTCACCCAGCATTAAATGGGTATCTGGGTATTAACTGACTGCGGAAGAGAACCCAAGAATCCCAATGGAAATTTTCCACACTGACTAGCTTTTTTGGGTTATCCTGGGTTATTAGCTGTGCATGGTTAAAATTCCTAATAAAGTACTCACCTGTATTTGGTGGCAGGGGTCGAGTCCTAGCCCCTGAGTCTTCATCTTCTTGCTCCACATTATACAGGTTGCAGTTGTCTTCATTCCCTATCTGAGGGATTACGGTATCCTTGATGTTAGTGTATAGGTAGCTTGCAGCCTTAATTCAAATTAAGTTTATTTGCATATGATACATTGCTTATGCAGGAATGGGTGACACTTAAATGCATGTACAAAGTACATGATTATGCAGAGCACTTCGAGTAATGACTTATGTAGTGAGTAAACCTTAAACCTGGCAAAGTAACAAAAGTCGTTTAACCTCTTTTAAAATCTGGATGTATAAAGAAAAGGTAAAAAGCATTCCACCACAGGAATAGTGGATCTTATTTTCAAATACCTAGTCAGACTCAGATTTTCACATCCATCAAGGCAGGCATAGAAGTCTACAGTGTGAATTATATATTCTCACACTCAAAATTATTGTATCAAGATTCCAAAGAGGCAATTATACTAAATGAATTGCACTATGGGATGGGTAACAAATTCACTAGTTAATAATGCATAGCACTGTTTGATAACTAGAAATGCCAATGATTTTACAGGACGTTTTCAAGTCACCAATCAGTTAGAAGTCTCTACTTTTTTCCTACTGGCAGAGGGTTATCTTTTATATAAATTAACTCAAACTGTCTCCAAGCACGAACCCACTATAGCCTAATATACACAGTCTGATGAATCCTAAACCTAACATTAATCTTAATCTAAATTACAATGTTGGATAATTTGTGGTTATAAACATTTTAAGAAGTCACCAGACCTACCACCTGGATAACTTGCTGATGTTGATATGAAAAGTTTGTGACTTCACTGCTCACCCTAATCTTGGATTCCCTACAGGATCAACTGCAAAAATCTATATCAACTGCCATAAAAGTCATACTCTAGGTTCAGAATGGCTTAATAATTGAATGGCATGTTGATATGTAAGCAAGTATAATGGTGCACTTTTTCTTATTTATTATGTTGATATGCAATCACTGATAGTTCATATTGTTTAATCCTTATGTTACATAAATTATCAATTTATATCATGTTTAGTGTATATTCTTACACATAATGTTTTTTTTAACAAAACTGGACATATCTCACCCAGGCAGGGTGATCTAATAAGAAAAATGAAAGTTTCTCTTTAAATTTAGTAATTTATACAAAAGAAGGAATAACTAGCCCCTTGTTCCCTCTTACACATAGTATATACAAAAAATAGCTTTGTCATGTTATGATGCAAACTATAGAGAATTAGTCACTAATAAGAGCTTTGGTTTATAATGTTAGTAATCCCTCTAGTGTTCCCAAGTTGCCACTTTGTTAGAAGTATCTGATATTTTCCTAACAGCAAAAAGTTTTCCCAAATAAATTTCTTGAAACTGTGGGCACGCATTAATTAACCTGATCTACTCTAAACCTAAATTTTGTTATTGGATACCTTGTGGATACCACCTGCATTGCTTGCTGATGTCGGTGATTTGAAAAATCAGTGACTGCCTGACATCTTGGTATACAATGACATAAGCCCACAGTAATTACAGTGATTTCATACACACTCTAGCAGGGAAAAACCTTTATCTGTAATGGGACATTTCACCCAAAAAGGGGTTTTATTAATTACAATGAAGCCTCTGTAACAGAGTAACAGGGGAAAGAGGGTGGTTGTTGTTGATAATTGTGGTGGATAGAGATAAGACTTTTGTTTTAGTGATCTTAACAGTAACATGCAATTCTGTAACCAACAAACACTCTTCTTTACAAATCATTGACCCATCAGGTTTTGTCCTCTATTTTTGAAGTCCATTAAATCAAAGCCCTTTGGATAGAAGGTTTACTATACTGTTCAGTACATATGAAGTGTCGTGTAATAAAGGTTTTTCTATGCTAAAAGTTTCTTTGAAATTACATTTAACTACAACTTTGCTTTATATAAAAGTTGAAGTTATTTAACTGCCTGCTGGTTACCTGACCATAAACAGATATGAGCCTTATTGGTAGACATGTTGCATTTGTTTATGTATTTTCAATTTGATATTTGTGTTTAATATATGTTTTTATAGGTTTATGCAACTTACCCTAAACAAAGACTGCTGCTACCCCTTTAATAATAAACTATTCATTACATGTCTGCTGGCTTAATAAACACTTTCTTATACAAAACCAAAGTGATTTTTATAAGGGTGCCTAAAATTATATAAAAAAAGATTTTCCCTTAGCTTAGGTATGTATTTCTTGCATAAATTGTCAGTTTTTATTAACCTTGGATGCTTATTAACCCTGAATAATCCCAAAAAATCAAGGACACAGTGGTATTGCATATTTCCATTGAAGTCTTTTCCCAGAATGTGACCAAAAAATTAGCTATTTCCCTCAGGTACGTATGTACTACTGGGTGTGCAGGTGCATCAGGTATAAGGAAACTTGCCCTTATGTCTCACCTTGCCTGGAAATCAAACCCAGGCTCTTTTAGTTGTGAAATGAAAACTTTTCTGTTGTCCACAATGATATTAAAAGAAAAATAGTACCAAGTATTTGCTCTAAGCATTCTTAAATGATAGGTTCTATACTATACACTGTTAAAAGAGTAAGCTATCCGAAAATAACTTAGTGAAGGATGAGTACACTGCACATCAACATGGTATATACGGTACACTAGAAAGTATATTTCTTAGTCTACTGTATACTGTACACACCAAGAAGCACCAAGAGGCATATTTCTCAGTGTATTGTATATAATACAGTAACTTGTAGATCTTAGCACAGTATTCTGTATATACACTGAACTGTATTTCGTAGTTTATTGTGTATTGTATGCACACAATATACAGAAAACGTTCTATGTAACTTTTGGAAATGAACCATGCCCACAGTTAGATTTGAAAATTAATGAGTATGAGGTAAAGAAAAAAGGATGATGGTAGGTTACTAAGTGTGATCATACTGTAGATAAATTAAAATTTGTATTATGCTTATATAAAAAATGTATTATTATTATTGCAATCAAAACTAATTGCTAAACCCAAAAAAAAGATATGTATACTCTCCAAAATAATTTATCTCCAAACTGCACTACTAACACTACTATCTCATTTACCCGTACCTCACATTCAGAATTTATGGCTGGGGGTTCTACTTCAACTATCCACCACAAATTAATCATCACAAACTCGGATCCCAGGCTAGACGCCCATACTTATCTGGGATCTGGCTGAGTGGCTAAAGTACTGCATACTTTGATGCAGAGTGTGTAGGTTCGAATCATGTGGCAAATAAATGAAGTTTCTCTTCATCCCCTCCTCTCTCACCCTCCCTCCTCTCCCTTGAAGAGACTACAGTCACTCAAGTACCAGCTAGACATGCAATTTGCAAAGTATAGTATTCAACTAGATACATAGTGTCCTAGTAGGAGGAAGTTGCTAGAGCCTTTAGGATTAGGTTAGGTAGGTTTGTCAGGAAACAGGACAAGTGTTTCCTGACGCTTGAGCTTTTGATTATCTGACCGAGGACTTCCTCTGGCTTACCGGTCCACCCCCTTAATAAACATGGTTATAATTTCAACCATTAGATTATGTAATAGAGCCTTCAGGACTTATATGCTCAATATAATTCTATCAGTAAAGTTTGCTGACCAACCCAAATTGTTTTGTCAGGAAACCTGATGGTAACTTATAGTGACTAATATGTTATAAAGAATAATAAGTCACAATACCATGCTGGAATAATTAGCCAAAGCCTCCCTTAGGATGGCGTTTCGGTCCGTGCTGCACCATTGTCAAGTAAACTGAATGTGAAAGAAGGGAAGGGAAGGCCAGAAGACATCGGGGGTGGTAGAAGCAACGGCAGCGGCGCGCCCGTCACCACTAATACTAATAGTAGCGCAGTAGCAGTGGTGGTGGTGGTAGTAGTAGTAGTAATAGTAGTAGTAGTAGTAGTAGTAGTAGTAGTAGTAGTAGTAGTAGTAGTAGTAGTAGTAGTAGTAGTAAAGGATATGATGTGGGAGGACAGGAGCGAGATGTTACCTCACTTAACCATTCACTAAATCCACACTAAACTTTCACTGACCGTCATATACATTCAATACATGCGGCAGTCTGAAGCTAACAGATTCCTTCTCTTTGTTCGGTGACCATCATGAAAATCAGATGAGACAACATAGTCAGTATTAGTAGTGGAAGAAGTAGAGTTTTGTGATAGTCATAGGTGAACTAGTGGTAACTAAAAGTAAAACCACTGGTACATACGGCTCTATGAGTGGCAGTGGAGCAACATATGTAGTTTAAGATAGAAACAATACTAAATTAATTGAGGTAGTAGCACAAGAGTTCCATCGCTTCCAATCTCCTATAAATTCGATGCCATTTTTGACAAATGTTATGGTATATTGTCCCCATGTTTTCTTGCTGGTAGTGGCTGGAGAAACTGAAGGATGGGGAGAAGAGTTTTATGCTTTTCCATCCTTGCTTCACGCACCTAAATAATACACAGTAGTCCTTTATCTGGATAGAAGTAGATAGTTCTCCGCAGATAGCCACCGTGTGGATTTTCAGAGTCCTTTGTTATTTGTCTTTCCCATGTACCCCTCACACTTCATTACAACTGTAACCAGATCATAAACTTGTAAACAGTTCATAGCCACCGTGACTTGCTTAGCAATCAAAACTTTGTGGCCCAGTCCCTTGACCCTCTATATGCCTCTGTAATCTTGACTGTTGGCAACAGCATAGGCACGGGGCTCATAATAAAGATATTTAACGTCCGTTCGTCCTTTTCTCTCTCTCTCTCCCTATATATATATATATATATATATATATATATATATATATATATAATATATATATATATATATATATATATATATATATATATATATATGAGAAAGAAACAAGAGGTGACGGAAGGAGATGAACCAGCAAGACTAGACCTGGTTTTTCACACGCAATGAATGTAACATAACTGAATTTATTTATGAAGATTTCGCTAGGTGCTAGCAATCACGTGGTGCTAAGTTTGGAGTACCTTCTGGAACTGGGAATGGAGAAAGTAATAGGGTAGTTATTGACAACTTCTACCCTCCCGATTTCACCCTTTAATTACAGTTTGAATTGTGAAATATTACTCGCCCGATTACCTTTGTAGGTTTACTGCTTCTATTTGGTTATAATAATAATACTCGTCCGATTTCATCCATTAATTGGTTTTTGTAGTTGAGATAGTATTTTATTGTGAAAAGTAAAAAAAAGCGTAAAAAATAAAGAAACCCGTCTAACCTTACCTAAAATAGTCCAACGTAACTTTAAATTTACCTTTGCCATCAGTACTGGCGCCTCTTTGTTTACATTTAGCCGGTGTGTGGCTGAGACATGCCTCGCAGCCATACTCCCCTCAAGGGAGCTTCCTTGACGCTGGTGAGGGGCTCTTGATCTAGGGAATTGGATCTCTGTTTCAGTTCCTAAATTGAGTCTGAATGCCTTCCCCCCACAGGTGCTGTATAATCCCTACGGGTTTAGCGCTCCCCCATGATTATAATCGCAGCCATAATGCACTGCATTCCATATTATCTTCCAAAGTAATAATTTGCGCAGGAAATACTTCCTCCGTGATGTACTGTACATATGTTACATATATTGTTAAATGTTATACCCAAGTTCCACCGAGTAGTAGTCGGTAATTATAGCCAGAAATTGTGGGAGTAACAGAAAATGGGACTACAGAAGTGGGTACTATGATGGGACGAGAAACTCTTTAAGAGAAAAATTCAGGGGATATAGGAACTGGAGGACAAAACTGTACAAGAAAGGATGGAAGTAATAGAGTTAAAGTGTTCAGAAGCAGTTGAAAAGTTAATAGCAAGCCTGAAGTAAAGAAAGAAAACAGAGCTTGGGGCTCAATTAGGGACGCAGAGGCCACGTGAAGGAACAAGATGACCCGGAAGAAACAGCAATCTAACTGCAGAAAACCAAGAAAAGCAGGAGAGCTAGAAATATGAGGGAAGCTGAAAGGGAGTCTGAAAATGATATAGCATCACAGGAGGAGAACCTGTGAGGAATACCTCGAGGTATTCCTCACAGTATCGTGACCTGGATGTTTCCCCTCAGTTTCTGTTCATCACTAACACTGCCTTCTACCTTCCTCGTATATTTTTGATACTAGTGTACAGGATAGGTGATGATAGCAGAACTTTGTACTGAGACTGTATTGTGTCCTTTATGACAGTAAATAAACTTTTGTAAAGAGTCTTATTTGATACCTGAAAGGACACACTAATATAGTACAAAATTCTTGCTGTTATCGACCTATCTTATATACTTTTATCAAAAATATACCAACGCTAATGAAGAGTGACAGAAGTATGCGAAGAGCTTAGCAAAAGACAGGTCTTCACAAAAGAAAATTGAAAACTAATGGAAGGTAATGTAGTCAGATCAGATCACCAGGTGTTCGAAGGCATCGCATAACAAGTGATGAGACTACTAAGTAAGCTTGACGTAACAAAAACAATGTGACCAGGTAACAAATCTCCATGGGTAATGGAAGGAGACCCTTTTGGCTTAGCGCTTCTTTTTTATTATAATAATAATAATAATAATAATGGAAGGAGAACTATCCTGTGACCCAATAGCAAAGGTATTCAACCAATCTGCAGTTAGGAAAAGTGCCAGAATATTAAAAAACGCAAATGTAGTCCCCACATTAAACGGAAAGTGCAGACAAGAGGCACCGAATTACTCAAAATTTCTGGAGAAGACAGGAAGGAAAAGTATACTGGAGCAATTAAAGGAAGAAACGATTATTTACAGTAAACCAACACTTATTTAGGGATAGATAATCCTGTCCCACAAATTTGCTGGAGTTCTGTGACAGTCACAGAGATGCAACAAGAAGGGTTGCGCGGTTTGAATCTTCTTGGATTGCTGGAAAACCTTTTGTACGGTACTATACCAGAAATTAAAGGAGCAGACGGACAAAATGCAGTGTTCAAATGAGTCAAGAATAACCTGATTGATAGAAGGCAGAGAGTAACATTAAGGAACTAAACATATTTGGAGAAAGTAACGAGTGGAATTCCGCAAGATCAGAACTAGGACCATACTGTTTTTAAGTGATATGTGAATAGCCTACCAGAGGGAATTGAGTCCTCTTTGTCACCACGGATGGTGTAAAACTATTGTGAAGAGTAGGAACAGTCTGAGAGGACAGTGATAAATTGCAGGGAAACCTTAACAGACAACAGAGGTGGTCAAACAAATAGCTTCCAGAGTTCAAACCAAGCAAATTTAGTCATGCAAATTGGAGGGGAGTGCAGACGAGAGAGAGTACAGCACGAGTGGAAAGCAGCTGTAAATATAACACCAAACATATCGCCAGAAATATATACAAACTGTATAACGTCAGCGGCATATGAAAAATCAGCAAACTTCAGAATAGCATTCAGGAACTTGAATAAAGAACAACCTTAGAACCTTATACATGACATATGTTAGGCCATTCATTGAATACACGGCTCCAGCATGGAGCCTACACCTGGCCAGGCACGTGAAAAAAAATCTCAAAAAAGTGCACAGGTTTGCAACCAGAACTGAGAGGAATACGCTACGAAGAGAGTTTGAAAGAACTGATCCTGAACGACCTTGTCAGGAAGAACAAGGAGAAACGTCAAACATGATTACGGCATACAAAATCTTAAAAAGAACTGACTGAGCATATTGGGATAGACTTAATTAAGAGCACTAGACTCGTGGGGACACACATAGAAACCGAAAACACATGAGCCATGGGGATATAAAGAAGTATTTCTTGTAGTCTCGAGGTGGTTGAAAAGTGGAATGACTCGGATGACGCAGTAGCAGAAGCAAACTCAATATAAAGCTTCAAGAATAGATATAAGACCCAAGAGACCAAAAATTAATATGTCGATCCACGTCTAGGAGGCGAGGCCAGGAGCCGAGTCTCGACCCCGCAGATACAACTGAGTGAGTACCTACACACACCCCGATGCTTAGATTTTTACCATAAAATAATGTATATGAATAAAAAATGGATACGTCCCCAACTGATTTTCGAGGAATCTGAAAATGTTAACGTTCTGTAATACTGCATATATCATATACTCTCTCTCTCTGTATATATATATATATATAAAAATATATATATATATATATATATATATATATATATATATATATATATATCAAAACAACCACTGTGAAAGAATAGAGAAATTCCAAGCGCTTTCGTGACTACTCACATTATCATATATATATATATATATATATATATATATATAATATATATATATATATATATATATATATATATATCAGCATAGTTGCTGATCCCTATGTTGTATAGCATATCAGTATCATCCATGTGCTTTAGATAGGAGATCCCTGGGCCTGTGACTTTGTGTGACGTCACGGGATGCGCATGTGTACGTTCGTACCTCTGCCTCAGCCTCAGTCGGCGTTTGACACAGGCTAGGACAAGGCAAGGCTGGGCTCCATCTCCCATCATCACAGTCTGACAATATATCGTTACCATCCAACCAGTGTGTCTACCTTCAACCCTCGATATCTCCTTTTAAGAACCCCTACGATATATATATATATAATATATATATATATATATATATATATATATATATATATATAATTATGTAGAAATGTACTATAAATTATTTTTAATAATTCATAGTGTAGTAAATGTTTTCAGTATGTTTTTCCATCTTTTCAGGTTATGATTAATCAGTTTGTTATGGCAGCGGGAGCTACTAGAGAACAAGCAAGACAGTTGTTACAATCTGCGCACTGGCAGTTTGAGGTATGTTACACATCTGCGCTGCTTTCTCTCTCGACTTCCTCATGTATTCCCCACCATGGATGTTCTATTATTTTCTCTGTTTTTGTAATAGTTTTGTTTATGCTCGATTTCTTGAGAATATATCTTCACATTAACTTCAACTTTACATTAAAATTTTTTAACCTTTTATGACAACTGACATGGTAACACGTTTACTGTAACTCATTCAATGACTGTCTTGCCAGAAGTGTGTGGATATCATAATTAATATTAATCACCTATGTATGTTCATTACACAATTCTTTAACTTGATATATGCTGTGTGATCCTTTGGGGTAACCTGGGAATAACTTTTTTGGGGGATGAGGGTGGGATCTAATGTTGTGTGCGTATACAGTGTTAGAAACAACTATGTGGCATTTCTGTATACATATATATATATATATATATATATATATATATATATATATATATATATATATATATATATATATATATATATATATATTATATCAGTTTTGACAATAATATGAATATTTCCTTTGGTTTATATAAATTAGATCCATTTATAATTAATAGAATTTGGGAAGAATTTAATAATACATTGGACAAATAATATTTTTTTAAATTTCTTACTTCTTGGGTAGAATAGTTTGTTGGTGGGTTGTGTGAAGGACCTGTCCAGTTCGGCCGGTGGGCCTGCTGTCTCGCGTCAGGTGTTGTGGGATCTGATAGTGAGGTGTGGGCTACCCCTTTATATACCTTCCTTTGATGCTTTACTTTCATTGTTCCTTGATAATGTGAGTAGTCACGAAAGCGCTTGGAATTTCTCTATTCTTTCACAGTGGTTGTTTTGCATATTCTGAAATCACCTGTTTACTGTGATCTTATTGCCTTATATATATATATATATATATATATATATATATATATATATATATATATATATATATATATATATATATATATATAAATATATATATATATATATATATATATATATATATATATATATATATATATATATATATATTATTTAAAACATACATTATATAAATAAAAGTGTACAGTATCGGACCATACATAGCCAATAGAAATTCTTCATTATCTAAACACACTGTACGTTTTACTTTGCCCTTACACAAAATTTCCCTCATCACCTGTACAGTTCATCCCTTAACACTTATGCTAAATACAAGTTTATACAATATTAGGCATGACAGCAATAAAAAAAATGCAATATTCAGTAATATGTAAAATATATACACTTCACTCAACTTATAGATGTATTATGCCATTAAACATATATATATATATATATATATATATATATATATATATATATATATATATATATATATATATATATATATATATATATATATATAATCAACCTGCTGTCGAAACTGTCAGAGATTCTGTAGATTCTGAATTGTATATCCGTAATTTTATTAACTTTAAATGTTGCAACATAAGTTTTGTGTATATTTTGTCGAAAAAGTCCAGGGACTTCACTGTAAATAAACTAAATTAAATCAAGGAAGATATTATTCCGTACATCAGTTCATGATAAACACATGCATAATTGAATCGTTTCACGCTCAAGAGTTGCGTTCAATTACCCACCCAAGTTTACCGCTTTCAGTGAAATAGAATCATATATTTTAATACCCGATACTGTAGGTGAACGTATACGATTGGTCGCTGATGGTGTGACGCCACTCACCTGTCAGTTCCTTGTGTGTAGTGCTAGACCACACGTGCACTTACCACCTCAGTAACTTTTTTGGGTAAACTTTTAATTGAAATTCCTTCAGTGTAATGAATATTTTGACACTATTTCAGTCGTGCAGTATTGAAAATTGTTTTGGCTGATTTAGATCCTGTGCGTGAAAAATAATTATTTTAATAAAGAAGTTAGAGTATAATCACTTTAGCAGCTTTCAAGGTTTGAAATTGAAATGTAACTTCATTATTTAAAGACATTAAAGCGGTATCAATGTTAAGAATAATGCTAATGCTCAGTACAAAAAAAAGACAGCCTCAGCGAATATAGAAAAACTTAATAAATTAGAAAAAAATATAAAAGAATATTTAAACAAGAAAATCTGAAAATATCAACTTCATACACTGGTGTATTCAGTTGGAGTACGAAGTTGTTCGCCGGTATGGTCCCGAGGAGGGTCTTTTCCATGTGACCCAACAGCTGTATTCAGTAAGGATTCACTGCAAGCATGGAATATCAGCTGTTGCTGCCACTACCACAGCCACTAGTCCGTTATTACTGCCGCCGCCACCGCCTATACCATATCTTATATTGTGACTCACGAAATCGTAATGACACGATTGAACGGCCACGCTGGCGGGAGATTCGTCTGTAAAAACTTGCATTTGTGGTCACAGTGGTTCCTCTGCTAACCTTCCTATGGTGTATAAACATATATGTAGTTGAATGAATCTTATTGTAGCCAGCTGGCCCGGTGACTAACGGGCCGGTGTGGAGTTTTACGACTCACTAGCCGCGAATTCAACCCCCACTCAAACTGTGGAATGTCTCATATTACTGCACAAGCTGTTTGTGGAAAGCTTTGTCACATATTCGATTATACTGTCAGTTTTGTTGATGACACCACAAAGTTATTGGTAAAATTAGCACAGTTCACATTGATAATCCTGTGTTGTAGGCAATATCACTTTACAATAACATGATTATTCTCGGTATATGCTCTTAATCTTCGTAGCCAAATATCCATCACAACACTACCTCACTATAATGTGTCAGTGTAGCTGGCTGCAGTATCTCAGTCTTGATGAGTACATAATCCTGGCATGTAACTGTTCTCTGGTCACTAGCGTCTCTCCTGGCGGTCTCTGTTGACAGACTCCACGGTTTATACATGTGCCTCCTGACCATTCAACTCTAAGTGCTTCTTTGACCTTTCTGCCTTCTACGACAAACACCCTGGCGCCAGCCTGGCTGGTGCAGCTGATCAGGTTCACGTATATTTGATAAAGTGCCAGCTGCTGGCCTCTCACACTCACACCTAGCCACTACCTGTTGCTTGTTCCTACGTGATTTGCACATCTAATTTAATAAAACCTTTATTGTAATAGTCGTTTGACAATCATTCAAAAGTAGTTTTCAAGTGTTTCAATAAATGCTCTTGAAATATGAGAACTTACTCAATTCTGTATAAAAGAAAGAAAAACACTTAGTTCAGTGAAAAATTATAATTCCATGATTAGCAGTAATAATAAATAAAATAGTAATTAATTCATCTATACAGTGTCAAACAGTTCCAACCTATTATCACATCATTGCTCAATCAAGGCTCGAGGCGGCAGAAGACAACTGGAATACATGTGACTGATTTCCAGGGCTTTTGTATTCTACCAGCCCGGCCTTTGGCCAGGCTTCCTTGTTGAATGCTTGTTAAACCAGGCTGTTGCTGTTAGCAACCTGTTGGCCCACATAGCTGTTTCATTAGTCAAGTTTACATGTTTGCTCGCTTCCACCTCTTTCCTCTGCTGTGCAGTGCTGTATAACCTTTCCAGGTTTAGCACCGTTCATGATTATTATAATTATAATTGTGCGAATATCATGATTAGTATAATTGTATGGATATCTTTTCATGTCAACAATGCAGGAAGTGAAAGATCTGATAAAATGGCAGGAATTCAAGCACAGATGTAACAAATGTTGTAGATTACAAGTTTGGAGAAAATGTTGTACGGAAATTACTGAAAACATTAGAAGATGACTTTGAGAAGAGAGATTAAAAAATAGTGAATTTATGCAGTATGATAGGGTTGTACTATATACAAGTGCGTACTTGTGAAAAGATAGACGGTGGTGGTCAGGATCGTTTAGGCTACTTTTATGTAGCAGAACAATGCAATAAATCCCAGAGAAGAAAAATTACCTTCGTATAGCAGAACAGTGTAGCAACTGCCGGAGAGAAAGATTAAGCTACCTTCTTGTAGCAGAACATTTCAGTCACTACCAGAAAGAATAAAAGTTACCTTCGTGTAGCAGAATAGTGTAGCTACTGCCAAAAAAAGTAGGCTACCTTCATGTAGTAGTGTTAACAATATAGTAACTGCAAGAAAGAAGTATGTGAGGAGATATGAAAAAAAGCTCCAGCATTACACTTTTGATTGTAATAGATTACACGAGTGAAATTTGTATCATCCAAGCATATTGTCACTAAAGCTCATAACATTTAACAAAATATATGTTGGATTTTTTTGCAGTTGGATACATTAATGATAGCATGTAAAGATAGTTATTCCTGAATGTGGCAACAGCCTAAGATGGAGTTGATATCACCAGTGATGTACTGACTATTTCGGCTGATGTGTACTGCCTTTATGGTGGTACTATACGTTCACTCAGGATGAGTGCCACTGTCCATTAAACTCACTTACCCCTTGCATAAAATTTAAAATTTCGATAGATTATAGGAGTGTAGTAGTTACAGTATTCTCGTATTATTGTTTTATGTAAGTACTGTAGGAAACTGTTAGTTTCATATTGGATTCTTGCACTCGCAAGAGGATTAGATTTAGATTTTACCATGTACTCCATATTCATTCTGTGGACGGTAGCACAAGAGCAAATGGCTATACAAAAGGCCTAGGAACTAGGCCCCAAAAGGGTTTGATTTATATCTAGAATTGTCTTATCTGTTGCAAGCAAATTTAGGATATTTGCTTAATATGTTTAGTATCTTATTTTCAACTATAAGATACCCTGACATATCATAAGGCTGACCACATACTTTGCATTCAGTTTGATTATCATTTGTGCGTCTGCCAAACTGCCAGCAGAAGTACTTGTAACCTAGCCTAAGCCTGAATACACCATCACCTTGTTTGTTCACATTGCAAGTTGCTCTTTAAACATGCTTACTAGAGGATAGGTTGCAAAATGGCATGCTGTATAGCCCTTGTGGCTTAGCGCTTCTTTTTGATTATAATAATAATAATAATGCAAAATGGCATATAAGCAGTAATGTTAA